ACAACTGTCCAAGAGCCATTGTGTATAATGCCACAGGTTTTATGAAAGGCATCTCATTAGGATTGCCCATCTATTTCATTCAATTTGTCACTGGAATCTTTCATAAGTTATAGGCAAGGATAATGAGATATCATGGGGATATTTCATTAGGCTCTTTGGCCCTTTCATTATCATTTCTGAGACTTTTCATTAGGATATTTCATTAGGCTGCTTCGCTTTTTCATTACCATTTCATAGAATTTTCATTAGGATATTTCATTAGGCTCCTTGGCACTTTCATTACCATTTCATAGAATTTTCATTAGGATATTTCATTAGGCTCCTTGGCACTTTCATTACCATTTCTTAGAATTTTCATTAGGATATTTCATTAGGCTCCTGCGCTTTTTCATTATCATTTCTTAGAATTTTCATTAGGATATTTCATTAGGCTCCTTCGCTTTTTCATTACCATTTCTTAGAATTCTCATTAGGATATTTCATTAGGCTCCTGCGCTTTTTCATTACCATTTCATAGAATTTTCATTAGGATATTTCATTAGGCTCCTACGCTTTTTCATTACGATTTTTTATATTTCTCATTAGGATATTTCATTAGGCTCCTTGGCACTTTCATTAGATTTTCTTGGAATTTTCATTGGGATATTTCATTCAGCTCCTTGACCCTTTCATTACCTTTTCATTGAATTTTCATTAGAATGCTTCTTGGCGCTTTCATTAGGATATTTCATTACACTCCTTGACCATTTCATTAGATTTTTCATTGGGAGATTTCATTGGGGCATCTGGCCCTTTCATTACCATTTCTTTTAGGATATTTCATTGAGCACCTTGATGATTTCATCACTTCTCATTAGGCTCCCTGGCACTTTCATTACTATTTCTTAGATTTTTCATTAGGATATTTCATTAGGCCCTTTGGCACTTTCATTACCGAAAACTATATAATAATGATGATATGTATCACATGGGTTGTTGGGAGGGTGGTCACATGACCAATTACCAAAAATAGTCAAAAAGCGAAAGTTGTACCCCTGCACTGTAGCTTCCCGAATCTGGTTGAATTATGTTCTGAAGTGCTTCTGTTGTGGAGATATGAGGTAAAGGAATTCCAAAAGCATTGTGTTTTTTTTGGTTTTTTGCATTTTTCTTCATGAAAACAAAACCAAATAACATGATTCCAACACATTTAGAAAGCTAGATGAAAGGGCAACAAATATCATATCGTGGGAAATTTGACCAAAAAGGAAGGTGCATTCCCTAAAAGAGCAATCAACACTGACAGACTACAAGAGTCAGATATAGACTACCAAGTTTACTGATAGACTACAAAAAAGTTGGACATAGGCTACAAAGTTTACTGATAGACTACAAAAGACTACAAAAGTCAGACTTAGACTACAAAAGCTTGGACTTAGACTACAAAATTAGGGTTACATTAAAAGGTTTTGTAGTGTCCGCTTTTTCATTAGAAAAGTTTATAGTGTCCGCTTTTTTAGACTACAAAAGTTTGTAGTGTGTGCCTTTTCATTAGAAAAGTTTGTAGTGTCCGCTTTTCAGACTACAAAAGTTTGTAGTGTCCGCTTTTTCATTAGAAAAATTTGTAGTGTCTGCTTTTTGAGGCTACAAAAGTTTGTAGTTGACATATAGTTTATAGTGTCCTTGACTCTGTATAGGTTATGGGGATGAGGTTAAAGGATTGACATGATTTTACATATTGCCATTGCTGCAGCATTTACTTTTGACATCATGTACAAATTGTCTTTGCGCGACGGAGACGCGTCGGATGCGCAGCCACCAGTGCGACCAGGAAGGATAGGAGGAGGATGAATGTTCTTGTCGTGAACATGATGAGGATGC